TGCTGAGAGAAGTCAGTAGAAAGGTTAAGATTGCAAATAAAAGCAAGAGGGACTAGGAGAGGCTCGAAAGGAGAGAGCATACTTGCAGTGCAACGCTGTAGTGAGAGGGTAATGCGTAAGCCCGTATCAAGCACCGAGCGCCAGGCGTGCGCACGACTGTAGTCCCTTCTATTCTCTATGCGCCGGACCTGCCCTCTTTCATCTCGTTGTGTTCTTATCCACAACATGATTTGGCCACTTTGGCTTGTGCCTTCTTGGCTGCACATCTATAGTTGTAGAAGTCTTTCTATGTAATTCTGGATGAGGTTTAGGAACTAGAATAGACTGGCTTCGTGTCTCACCTGTCCCCACTGTCCACATATGTGCACAGTGCCTACAATGATTCCCCTTTGGCCAATTCCTACTCTCATCTTCACTGTCACGTTCAGCTGCTTGGCAGAGGTGATGGGCTCCTAGCCACCACCGAGTCATCCACGTCCTCACTGAGACTTCACTCGAACTATCCCAGCCTTCCTGTTTCACTATGCCAAGATGGGAGGCTTCTGTTCGTTGTGAAGAGGTTCTCTTCTCCCAGGGGCCTTGTTTCAGTGCTTATCCTTAATAATTTTTTTTAAGATTTTATTTATTTATTTGACAGAGAGAGAGAGAGAGAGCACAAGCAGGGGCAGTGGCAGGCAGAGGGAGAGGGAGAAGCAGACTTCCCATTGAGCAGGGAGCCCAATGCGGGACTCGATCCCAGGACCCTGGGATCATGACCCGAGCCAAAGGCAGATCTCAACTGACTGAGCCACCCAGGCGCCCCTATCTTCAATAATTAAAAGCAATTTGGCAGAGTTAAGTGCTTAGCCCCTTGCTTGCACATAGTCTGTGTTCAAAAACATGTTCGTTTCCCTACACTTGGTTCCTGTTTCCTCATTGCTCACCTTGAAGCCATTGCTCCGCCATCACCTCCCCTCACCCTTCTTTAGCATTTTGGTGTATTTCTTTCCAGTATTGCTATGCTTGAGAAAAACACAGTTGAAAACATACTGTAGGTGCTTTTTTTACTTGTTACTTTAATGTGAGCATTTCCCTGTTATATCATTAAGCCTGATTTTTTTTT